GGGGTAAAGGCAGAAATGGACAAAGTTTCGCTTTTCCGGTTTTGTTAATGATATCAATTTGGTTTTAACATTTGATCGTTATTGTGTGATTAAAAAACTAAAAGGTTTCTCGTAACGTGAAACAACACGTTTTGTTCTGTTTTGATATGTCTATATCACTCTACAATTGATATATTTAGTACTATTTTAACAGTGGTATTTCTATATCACTCTACAATTGATGTATTTAGTACTATTTTAACAGTGGTATTTCTATATCACTCTACAATTGATGTATTTAGTACTATTTTAACAGTGGTATTTCTATATCACTCTACAATTGATATATTGAGCACTGTTTTAACAGTGGTATTTCTATATCACTCTACAATTGATATATTGAGCACTATTTTAACAGTGGTATTTCTATATCACTCTACAATTGATGTATTGAATACTATTTTAACAGTGGTATTTCTATATCGCTCTATAATTGATGTATTGAGCACTATTTTAACAGTGGTATTTCTATATCACTCTACAATTGATATATTGAGCACTATTTTAACAGTGGTATTCTACATCGTTCTACAATTGGTGTATTGAGCACTATTTTAACAGTGGTATTTCTATATAGCTCTACAATTGATGTATTGAGCACTATTTTAACAGTGGTATTTCTATATCACTCTACAATTGATATATTGAGCACTGTTTTAACAGTGGTATTTCTATATCACTCTACAATTGATATATTGAGCACTATTTTAACAGTGGTATTTCTATATCACTCTACAATTGATGTATTGAATACTATTTTAACAGTGGTATTTCTATATCGCTCTATAATTGATGTATTGAGCACTATTTTAACAGTGGTATTTCTATATCACTCTACAATTGATATATTGAGCACTATTTTAACAGTGGTATTCTACATCGTTCTACAATTGGTGTATTGAGCACTATTTTAACAGTGGTATTTCTATATAGCTCTACAATTGATGTAGTGAGTACTATTTTAACAGTGGTATTTCTATATCACTCTACAATTGATGTATTGAGCACTATTTTAACAGTGGTATTTCTACATCGTTCTACAATTGGTGTATTGAGCACTATTTTAACAGTGGTATCTCTACATCGTTCTACAATTGATTATTGAGCACTATTTTAACAGTGATATTTCTATATCACTCTACAATTGATGTAGTGAGTACTATTTTAACAGTGGTATTTCTATATCACTCTACAATTGATGTATTGAGCACTATTTTAACAGTGGTATTTCTATATCACTCTACTATTGATGGTTTGAGTACTATTTTAACTGTGAAATCTTTTCATCTTTTATTAAATTTTTCATGTAGAAATCTTCTTACGTGTCGACCTCATTTACAATTTTTTTACAATTTTGCATCCGATCCCCGAATGATTCTGAAGCGTTAAGAAGGAAATGTGAATGACCGGACAAACTGATATTATGTGCAATTACACCCCAACCAGTTGTCTTTAAACCCGACAAAAGGTCACGTTATTGCGGTTTTCTAGGCTGTTTATGATGTTGACGTTATAGATTGTGAAAAACAAGAGAAAACGGAAATAAGCTAGCTGATAACGTGGGAGGCAGACTTACAGTTCTTTAATTAAACCCTTTTCTCACAGCCAATAACAAATAACTAGATTTCAATATTCGTCGTTCAACAGGCAAAAACTATCGGCTACAAACATTCCTGAATTTAGAGGCAATAGTTCGCCAATCGCCATTTTCGACGTTGATTTATTGATGTAAATATCTACACTTTCTATTTCTATGTCTTTTCTAAAGATCATAATAACATGTTAAATTAGTGCTGAATATATCAATTTTTCTATGTATGTCAAAGTCTCAATGAAAAAAATGAGTCGTTATTTTAACTTTCAAACGCAGATAATTCAGGATATGAAGGCTTAAATACAGACTGTGAGCTGTGACGATTTTCCCGTATAAGAGACGACAGGGGAAAACGGATGGTGAATCTGTTCCCTTGGCAATGCTTAAATAATCTAAACACCAAATAAACATTATTAGCTATGTGGACTCTCTGAAAGAGATACTGAGTTGACAAACCTAAATACCAAATAAACATTATTAGCTATGTGGACTCTCTGAAAGAGATGTTGAGTTGACAAACCTAAATATCAAATAAACATTATTAACTATGTGGACTCTCTGAAAGAGATATTGAGTTGACAAAACTAAATATCAAATTTTATTATTAGCTATGTGGACTCTCTGAAAGAGATGCTGATTTGACAAACCTAAATACCAAATAAACATTATTAGCTATGTGGACTCTCTGACAGATGCTGATTTGACAAACCTAAATACCAAATAAACATTATTAGCTATGTGGACTCTCTGACAGAGATGCTGATTTGACAAACCTAAATACCAAATAAACATTATTAGCTATGTGGACTCTCTGACAGAGATGCTGATTTGACAAACCTACATACCAAATAAACATTATTAGCTAGGTGGACTCTCTGACAGAGATGCTGAGTTGACAAACCTAAACACCAATTAAACATTATTAGCTATGTGGACTCTCTGACAGAGATGCTGAGTTGACAAACCTAAATACCAAATAGACATTATTAGCTATGTGGACTCTCTGAAAGAGATACTGAGTTGACAAACCTAAATACCAAATAAACATTATTAGCTATGTGGACTCTCTGAAAGAGATGCTGAGTTGACAAACCTAAATACCAAATAAACATTATTAGCTATGTGGACTCTCTGAAAGAGATGCTGAGTTGGCAAACCTAAATACCAAATAAACATTTTTAGCTATGTGAACTCTCTGAAAGAGATGCTGATTTGAAAAACCTAAATACCAAATAAACATTTTTAACTATGTGGACTCTCTGAAAGAGATGCTGATTTGAAAAACCTAAATACCAAATAAACATTATTAGCTATGTGGACTCTCTGAAAGAGATGCTGAGTTGACAAACCTAAATACCAAATAAACAATATTAGCTATGTGGACTCTCTGAAAGAGATGCTGATTTGAAAAACCTAAATACCAAATAAACATTATTAGCTATGTGGACTCCCTGAAAGGGATGCTGAGTTGACAAACCTAAACACCAAACAAACATTAGTTATGTGGACTCTCTGAAAGGGAAGCCGAGTTGATAAACCTACATAACAGATAAAATATGGACTCCCTGATAGGTATGTCGAGTTAATAAAACTAAAATACGTGGAATGTAAAAGTACTAACTCGATGCAAGTTGCCGCTATTATCTTTCAAAATGGACACCCTAAATCTATGGGACAAGGATTAAAAAAAATCTCGAAGTTTAACCGGATTTTAGAGATGAAAAACAGGATATTTTTATCAGAGTAATAACGTAATTGGTCCAATAAGTAATTAATGTTCACCATCCGTCCGATAGTTTTTTTTTTGTGTCTCAATTAAATCAAGCAGGATACGAAGTAGACAGGGCCCTAACTAGGGTATTTTTCTATGAGCCAAAAATTCTGTTGCCTTTCATTACAAAGCTTTTAGTAAACCACCTTTACCATAGACGTCAAATAAACGATGTAGGCCACATTTACCATATAAACGTCAAATAAACGATGTGGGCCTATTTAGCGAATATAATATCTATATTTTAAATTTTTCATACAAAATGCGTTCTTTTTTTTCATTCCAATTCTTCAAATTCGGCATGAGACATTTGCCACATTTACCTTGATGAAGTTACAACCCCGGTAGAACAATTTGACCTCTTTGTGTTTCGCTGTCCCATAATAATTCTGAAATATTATCAATTACACAACACGCTTTGATTGGTTCAATATAACACTATACAATAACTGTGGATTATCGGGAAGGATGGCCAATGTTGATCTGTATATGAAAAATTGACTTCGTGTTAGACTAAATACAGCAATAGTATGTACCAAGGTCTGATAATCTACAAGATTTCCATAAGATTATAGAGAAAGAAAATAAAAAGTGGCTACCCTACTGGCTCTATAAACATACAACAAAAACACTTGAAGATGAAATTAAGAAGAGGGTGGATATAGAGCAAGAAAGGAAGGATTGATATCAGGGGCTTTATTCTTGAAAACTTAACTTCAGATGATTTTAGTGTTTCAGTAATCTGATTGGTCAATCACTAAAATCTATTTGAAATTTAGTTTTACTATCCAATCAGAATTTATTTTTTCTTAAAATCTTTTTCTTAAACATTTCTTAAAAATTCTAAGTTAATTTTTGGAGAATAAGGCCCCAGCATGAAAAGGACTGATAGTAATTTGAATAGGAAACTATGTATGGTTCTTACATGGAAATAACACAAAGGGCTACAATGATTAAGCAACTTAGAAAACTCTCAATCTGATTTGAAGGCTTCACTGAAACATTTTTCAGCCTTTTTCAGAATTCGAAGAAAAGATTTATAATGGTTGTGAACTAGGAGTATAGATTGACATGCCGTCTCCA